CCCCCCCCCCCCCCCCCCCCCCCATCATCATCATAACTCCCCCTGTCGGTCCGGTCCTCCTGAGCGTGCTTCATCTCACTCACTGGCTACATGATCACATCCCATTGATATCACCCCCCCCCTTTGCGTGAGGTTCTGTGAGTGCACTTTGTCACACGGCGACATACGATGCCACGCGCCCTACACCATATCACACCTGTCTGATCACACTTTGAACTCCCAGAAAACTACCACACGGGTATGCCACTATAGCATGCGTCCCCATCTGAACACTTGGCGAGCGTCCTGGAGTGGGCTCCTGGTGCGCAGTGCAGTTTGCGGACCCACGTTTACCGAGGTGACCGACTTCATCAGGTTACGTTTCGGTAGAACCCCCCTCTCCCGTGAACCTGTGCGTTCTGATTGGCTGTCTTGAGAGGATAAGGAACTGCTCGAACGGCCAACCAAAACAACGCTACTTGTCATTCAACCACGACATCGTCAACAAACACAAACGCTTTGACAAGAGCACACGCACTGATTGGAACCAAAAAAAAACCTACGGTTGATCACTGCCCAGGCGTTCCCGGAGCTTGGCGGCTGCGCTAGAATTTTCCTCATCCGGTGCGGCCCCCTTTAAGCTCCGACTTTCCGACATGCCCCCCCCACAGCCATCCCTGTTTTTCGTGATGCCATGCCCACTCGGGAGTATTGATGGCCTGTCGTCCCCACCCTCCTTCTCCACCGCTGTGCACCCGAGCGACCCGGCAGGTTTCCCGGCAGCCAGGGAGGTGGGATCTGTTCGCTGTGGCCCTACGCGATTGCCCGAAGATATTGCCTGCCAACGAACGGTACATTGGAACGCAGCCAGGAATGGGCGTGGGGTTAGGGGCGTTCCTGTTGCTCGCCAAGCCATTCGGCTGTATCGGGCGGCGTAGGCACCACGCACATGATGCAGACGACGGCTGTCCGTGCTACTTTCCTCCGTCGTGGAGTGAGCGGGGGCGAACATACAACGGAAGGGGTGGTTCCAACCCCGAACGGACGACGAAGATCAAGCCCCCTCCGTGAAAAAGAGGGCAAGACCGCAGTCGATGCCGGAGCTGCCTTCGGAGATGTAACGTTCCGTGACCCCACACACCACCAAGCGATATCGCTTACCGTGCAAGTGATTTTCGTTCTTTGTATTACCGAACCCCTGTTGCGTCTCGCTGTCTACCCCTCTTGCAGTTCCACTCGCCTCTCCTTCAAACTCGGACGAATTCCGCCGACTCAACTCATCAGACTCCCTATCGTAATGTTTTCCTCTTGTTGACCCCCCCCCGCGCTGAGTTCCGGCGTACAAGTCGCCAATTCATGTAAAGAAAAAACTACCCTTAGCCAACCTGAACCCCTCTGAACAGCACCACCCTCAACCCTCGTCCCCACTGCTGATTGGCACCCCCCACGCTAGTGGTGTGTGGCTCACCTCCTCCTCCTCCTCCTCCTCGTCCTCCTCCAAGGCAAAGCTCATCTTGCTCTTCTGGAGGCGTTTCTTCTTGGCTTCGGATTTTCTCTTCTTTCGCTCGGCCGTTCTTCGCGCCGTCTCCCTCGCCTCCTCCGCTGCCGCCTGCACGTTTCCGCCGCAACGGGGATCGTTTGAGACCGTCCGTCCGTGATCTCAGGCCCACAAGACTCCTAAAGTCGTGTTCACGTACACATGCATGCCAGACTCTAATCGTCATACGATATCTGCAAGAGCCAACGAAACCCCCGGCGAGATCATAGCCGCCCCCACCGCCGTGCGCGATAGAGAAAACTGCAAGGCTTGCACGGTCGCGGGTTTTGCCCTGAAATACACGTTTCGTGATCAGCCCGCCACGTCAGGAGCACACCTCGTTTCGTCCACCACCCCCCACCATGACAAAGGTGAGTCTGGCAAACATATTTTCATTGCTTTCATAGGGTGGCGACGAAGAATGAAAACGGGGTAGAAAACAATGACTACACAAACAACGAAAAACAACAGCTCGACATCAAACCCGCACCACAATACGACAGGCGGTTCTGAGCACATGCCCAACCTAGATGATCGTGACACTGGCGCTCGGGAGGTCGGCAACTTCGTCCGCCCCTCCACGAGTTGGACTCAAAGCGCCGTGAGAGTGCTTGTCCGAGCGCAACGTAAATTGAGCCGGTCACCTTCGCGCGAGCCTGCTCCCCCATACGAAGGAAACAACAGAACAGAAACAAATCTGGCATGCACGCCGAAGGCAACCGCGAAGCAACAATGTCCCGATGACTGGGTCATGGTCATGATCACGATCACGAGATAAGTGTAGCGCACGGGCCTGTCGCAGTGACCATTTTACGCCCAACCTATGCGTACCCACCTCCTCCTCTTGTCTTCGCTTCGCCTCCGCCTCCTCCAAGGAGTCGGCGGCCTCCCTAGCCTTGCGGAACTCCTCCGCCGTTACCAGTCCGACCGTCCGTTCCTGTTAATCAAACAAAAACGCACGTGAATCATTCACGCGCACCATTGGGCGAGAGCGCACCATAGTTCTCACGGCCAGGCGGGGCAGGGTGTCGGTCAAGCCTGAACACCCTCTCACAACCCATGCTCAGCGGTGACTTCAAAATTGCAACAATTGTCCCGCAACAACATCGGGAGCGAAACCACCGCCACTGGTTGTTCTGTCGAATTAGACTACAATGCAGGCGCTATGATGCGTGCACGATACACGATCGATCTGGGAAGATTGACAACAACCTTCTCATCCTCTCGAATGATGGAATGCCGTCGAACAGCCTACTGTAGGTGATTTGCGCAGGATCGCAGCTTCGGCCCGAACAAGCAACGACATCGTGTGGTTTCACGAGGGCGGAAACACCCAACTTCGAGCGAAGCTCGCCCGACGGCAGGGAGTTGAATCCCTGGACACGCGCTGTAAAACAGAGTGCTGGTGATACCGTGCCTGGAGCCGCCCGTGATACTTCGTCTGGGGCGATTCACAGAACACCGACGCACTGAGGGTGCATCACCTTGCGTCGCTTCGCCACCTGGCTAGTGGTCTCCAAGCGGTCCTCATCTCTACACAGGGAGGGAGAAAGCCGGGAACAAAACACACTTCGCAGTGAGCCGATTATCGGCCGCAGAAAAAGGAGAAGTAGGAAAGTACATGACCCACCCGCATCTCCTCTGCTGCCCGGTTGGTGCCGGTGGCCTTGAAGCGCCCCTCGTCGGCTGCCGCGCCTCCCCCCTTAACCACGGCCTGCTTCAGGAGGTCCCAAGACTGCTGCTCCTTCTCGGAGGCCCTGTCCAGCCTGTCCTTCAGCTGGGACAGCTCTCTCGCGCGTTTCCGTCCTTTCCAGCCACCCTCTCCCCCGCCGCCTCGCGCACCTCCCTAGCGAAAGAAGCGGAGCGGCCGTGGGATACACACATAAAGGAAACGGTTGGTCAGAGATAAGAGGGTTCTACCACACCCTGCGTCACGATGGTACTGCATACAGAGGACTGCTGTCGTGGCAAAGCACTCCTTCTCACACCCCATCCTCCTACCAGCACGCCCACCTGAGCATTACTATTTTGTAGCAAGGACTTTCAGGCCCCGTTTGGCGGACTGAAAAGCTTGCAAAACAAGCGTTCAACCGCTGATACAGATGAAGGGACGGCTTAGCCGACAGCACGTCGGCACACGAGGACGGTTAAGAGGGCGGGCGGACCGCCGTCCGCAAGAGGGGACGCAGATGTGGCGGGAAAAGGGGTTGGGAGGCTGGAGGAGAGAGCGCTCGCTGGACAAGAAAATTTGTACGATGGCCTGCCGTAAAGAGGTCGCCTGTGGATCGCGTTCGTCGTGCTTTCGCCTCGGCTCATGTTGGGAATTTTTACACTTCGTTTGTGTTTGTAGTAAGGCCGTATTTTGGTGTCGCTGTTGGGGAAGCTAGCTTTGCGGGAGAGGGCCACCAAAAAGGCTTACACAAACTCAACATAGGCCAGGTCTCCAGTTGGTTTCAATCCACTTTCTGAAAAGACTTCACATCCCTTTCGACTGAGGTTATATCTCGAACGGGTAGTCTTTCTGCGACGTTATGTTTACTCTCTGGGAATGCGGTGCAATTACAAAGATGTTCCGCCTATAGAACATGACAACTCCTACAACGTGTCGTTGTGGAGAGCAAGAGGATAGGCGCTTGCTCGCTCCTTTCAACATGAGAACCCTTTACGAATGATGCTCCCACACAAGAACAGAAACTACGGGTGCTTCGCGCGGGGAGGGCGACATTGGGTGTGAAGTGCCATGACTAAACAGCTTCATTGATCTGCGAGACTACTGCTGTAAAGATGCCGCGAATGTTTGAGCAGAGGGTCCCGGTTTGGAGGAGAAAATCAGATGTTATGACACTCCTGCATTAGAAAATCATGCCACTCGTTGATCAATTTATGGATGGTTCAATACACAGTGGATGTGCTAAGGCAATGGTTTGGCGTGAAACGGGGACATTCCGGTAATCGCATCTCGTTGAAATCGATGCCCCTTGCTCGTCGTTTCGCTCAGCAAGCCGACTGCAAACACCCTCCCATTTCCCAACTTGTTACGAGGCGATCCTATCGCGGAGATTACTATGGGAAGGTTGTCGTGACTCACTTGGTTCGGGATTCCTAGCTTGTCGATGTCTTCGTCATGCATGCTCGCGAAGCGGTCCATGGTTTTATCTCTCAGAAATCCAGCGTAAAAATTTTGGTTGGAAAAGAATCGTGCAGGCCGCTACAACTGCTGTCAGTACTATGCACACACCCAAGCACGCACGCAGGAGACAGTTCGAGAGGAGAGTACACCCCGATGAGGGAACTGGTTGGCACGCTGGGTGCACGAGTCAGGCGAGGCCGGTCGTCACTCCCGTGTCCTGCACTCCTGCACTGCACTGATGCACTACCGCTATACGGGTGGAGAACCATACCTTTCTACCGCGGTGCCCCCTGGGGTGGGTCTCTAATCTGTATTCCAATAAATCTCCAAACTGCGATGTCCCCTCCTCGAGCATATCTCGGGCGATGCCAGGTCGCGTGCTCGACCATGACGAATTCCAAGGACGAGGGGGAGGTGGACAGCGCACAGTTCGCTAGAATTCTCACCAAGCAGGTAGGTTTCGGGGTCCCATGATTGCGCGCCGGAACCGTCTTTGTCGAGTGCACGATACGGTCGGCAAAGTTGAAAAGTCCGGCTGGGGGTGTTGCATGGGTCCAAGCGTTGAGGGCGGCAGACGGGCACACCTTGCGATAGGCAGGCAGGTGGCCCACGCCACGTGGCAGCAGCGAGCGAAATTCCGGCTCCGACCGCCAAACTAAAGCACCGCATCTGTGGCAAGGCCAAGGTATCCCGCGTTTTTGCGTAGCACGCTCTGAGCGAAACGCTTTTGAAGGAGCCTTCCATACCTGCCGCGGACCCTCTGATACAATGACCTCCCTGCTCTCGGTGTGCTTACTTCATTACCAGCAGTCTCCGATGCACCAGCACTAAGAGTACCGTTCGAGCTTGTTGTTGATGTGATGTTGCGTGTTCTCAACAGGCGCCTCCCTCTAGGGGGGGTGGGGGAGGTTAATCCGCTCGCTTGCATTCCGAAGGTTTCGGGGGTCAATCTCTTTTTACACAGCAGTAACAACACGGACAGGCGGAGAGGTATGTTCCTTGTACAGATACCGCGGTCAGGACCTGTTTGTCGGAACGGGGGGGAGGGACGGCTGTGTAACGTACCTAGTGAGAGGTGTGTTCAAGCCTCATATTATATAACCGCTTGTTATGCACGCAAAAATACATGCGTGTGCGTGTGTCACGTCGACTGATTTTTCTTCCGATGCATGCAACGTGATGTTTAGATTCGAGTATCCTCCTCAGCGGTACATCATCCGGTGTCAAGACCCCTCGCTCTTTGTGTCGCTCTCTCTCTTTCTCGTTCGGGACGCACATCTCTGGCGAATCTACTTTTGAAGCGACCCATATCGTATACTCTCGAACAGCTATCAAACATAGGCGAGATGGGTCAAAGCAAGTTCGACATGCCAATTCCTCGCAACACCTCTTGGTTGTGTCTACAATATCGCTTTGCCTCGATACCCATCCACACTGCCGCTGCTCTTTGACGTGTCTCGTGGTGCTTGGGTGGCACAGGCGGTAGCGCACGTATGCGTGGCGATAGGCTTCACGGCAACTTCAGCCGGAGCTCTCGATTGCCTGACAGATGTGGTGAGCAGAGACGTTTCTACATGTTGTGCTCACTAGCTATTCGCCTGGCGCTGATCTAAGTTGACAATATATTGTTACTGGCAGGTGGTTCATAATGCACGTCTTCCGCGTGTCGAAGTCAACGCCACTTCCCATCGCCTTGCACCAGAACGCCTCACACAATTATTTGCTGTGTTGCTGCCTTTGTATTGTCGCCATTGGAAACGGCACATGCTGGTGTATCGTATCGTTTTGCGGGCATTCTCTTTCGGAGGGGCTGATTGGTGTGAAAGTGGTTGGAGGAGGAGATCTGCTCCGACCTTGCCATAAGCTGACGCTGACAGCAGTGCGAGCTGCTGTAATGCATACCGTTTTTGTCGTCCTGCCGTGTGGTCGAGCTCCCTGACGACGTTCTCTATTTCCAATGCGAGTGCGATGCATATGGCCTGTTCGCAAACTAGGGTAGACAGGGTATTCCGCCAATGCACACCACTCGCGACGCGTACAGTAGGTGGACCCCTCAGTCGCTTGACGCTGTATACGAATCTCACATTGGACTGGTGATACAAGCACGCAACACATGTGCTTCGGCCGTGCTCTGCTTAGCCGCGTGTTGACGACATTAATACGCTGCTGAACTCTGCCTGATTCTCATCCCTCGAAGCGTGTCGTACGAAATTCTTTCCATCTTTGGTCAATATTTCATCTCCCCGCCTCAGTATTAGCCCATGTGCACATACAGTACTGGAGGTTTTCATGCGTGGAACGATAAATCTGGGAGCAGGTCAGCTGCAATCCAGAATCGCTCTCCCGGCGTCCCAAGAAAGGAGCAAAACACCGACCAAACGCCGCAGATTGACCATGGGAACCCCCCCTCCTTATGATATTTGGGAGCGTTAGAGAAAATGCTGTAGCATGCGGTGTGACGTTACGGGGCTGTGCTTTATCGTGACTTGTCTGCTTTCTAAAATGTAGAACCCGCGGTATGTGGCATGCTCAGGTCCAGCGATATGTGGAGACCATGGCGAAACGTACAATGGAGAACACGTACCGAGCTGGTCGGACCGAGCCCAACATACCGGACGTTTTGCAAGGATTCCAGCAAATGGTGAGCACGACTAGAGCTGGAGCAAGAACCTGTGACGTGTGCGTTGATGGCACGACCGGGAGAGAAAAATGAGGATGGAGAAATCACATTCCTTGAGCGTTAGCGGCTTGTGTGTCAAGCGTCTCTTGTGTCTTTGACTGCGAATGTCGGAGACGCAAGAAATATTGTGACCCTCCCGGCGACAACGCCTCCTTGTGTACCCGAGGAATTGTTCCGAATTGCAGTCGGCCGGATACCCCCGGTCGTAATTTGAAAAGAGGTAAGGCTGCTACTAGACCAGGGAAAGCGGAACAAGACGTGGCAGGTCGGCGCTACGACCCTGCTCTCTTGCGGGACACACTTCGGTCCTAGCGGGTAGACGACGGCCATGCTAGAAGCGGAGAACGGACTAATTGTAGCACAATCCAGGCATTTGCGTCTTGAGTCTGGCCAATTCTGTATGGCTCGAAACAGTTTGGGTGGATTCACGGTAGTGGCGGTCCCTGTTCAACCACTCCGCATGAGGCTAGCCGCAGACGATTTTAACCTACCCCGGCCACATATCTATCTCCCTTTCGCCCACACCGCAGCGGACGCCGCTGAGCTGGACGGAGCTCCGAGATTTCGCCTTCAGCGAGGACGGTTACTCGAACCGTTACGATAACGCGGCCTCCAGCGGTAGCGGCAGCGCCGCCCCCGCCGCTAACGGGTCGGGGGGGGCTAGGGCGGCAGGAGGCGGGCGGCAAGAGTTGCCAAAGCGGTGGGACCAGCCGTTCCATCACGCGGTTCCCCCGTTCCCGATGCCGAGAAAACGCGCCGCCCCCTGGGACCACGGGGAGGAGGGAGAAGAGGCCGCGACAGAGGGTGCGAAGCGAAACATAGACGGCGTTTTTAGGGGACCCGCGAGGGGCGGGGGGGAGGGGGGGCTGCAGTGTTAATCTGGAAGGCGTTTGTAGTGGCCGGGAGGGAGGGGAGGTAGAGTTTGTTGGGGTCTTTCGTGTTTTTTTCTTCTTGTTTCACCATGTGGGGGGTTGAGTTCACCTTCTGCGTCGATTATGTTCAAAGAAAGCTTTCGTGAAATATTGACCATATGCGTGATTTGCATGAGCCCGGGGCTCAAGCAGTGTGATTGATTGAAGACGGTTGCCATCGGTAGTTGCGCTAGGGCCGAAGCGTGATGGCAATCCATGTGTATGTCTACTCAGCAACCAAACATAATGATTTCAGGTTGTGTAGAACCAAGTGGACAACCACACGCACGAGCTTCTTTTGGTGAATGCGGCTATTTTGTGTGTGTGTTAATCGAGAACAGCAGTAGTTATTGGCTCCAAGAGACACGGCCGGAGTTACCTGGCAAAACAACCCAGAGAGCCAAGGCAAGGCGGGACTGGTTCTTGCTCTCTCACCTCCCCACTTTCGCGACCACTTGTCACGTCTTCCTCCCCCCTAATTGGCCACCGCTGGTCGGTCCTGTGGTAACAATGCTCCTTTCTCTGGAGGACGCGTGGTCAATGGGCAACAACTAAGGCATGCAAACATAAGTATGATTACCCCCCCACCGCCACCTCCCGTCCTCTGCGGGTGCCCATCGTTTCTCGTGTTTCGCGCGGTCGCGTTCACCAGGGCCAAGATCGCGACCACCTCACATCCCGGCGTTCATGCCGCCACTGCCGCCCAGCACGAAGAGGGGCGCCTCGGCAGGATCGGACAGAAGTTTAGCGGAGGTGGGTGGGGGTCAAGCAAGTATCATAGGTAGCATACGGGGGGGGTCCTGTTGTCTGTTTGGTTCTCGTGGAGGTTTCCTGGTGTGGCCGAACACTCCACCGGTTGTTGCCGGTCTGTGGCTATGGTGTTGAGCAGGCGCAATCTTTGTTGTCGGGACGAACGAATTGTGGTGGTGTCAGGGTCCGGTGCGGGACGTGAGTGCGCCGCCACTAGGCCACGCCACGTGTATGGAGGCATGTTTGTGGCGGGGACGAGTGCAATGATCTGTGCTCGTTCTCGAAGGTGTGCACGATTGGTGGCATGTGCTTGTTGCGAGGAAGAGCACCAGCAGCGGCCTGTTGTCGTTTTGTGGCGGACGAAACAAATACCCGTTGCTATATTGTGACCGCTGTTCTCACAAGCTGTCGTGGGTTGCCCTCGATTTCTCCACTCTGACGAAAACGACCATCACCAGGGTTGCGCACCAAGCCACAGGGGCACGCCCCGACCTATTTTGTTTTTTAGTTAACAAACACTGCTGAAATCACGTACTTTGTTAAGTAGTAGATTCGCCGTTGCGATTCGCGACAAAGTAAGCCTCCAGATGCTTCTCCCGACAAGCAATCATTGCTTCCTTGTTTTTTTTTACGCCAAGATCCGACTAGAGAGATTAAAGCGGCAGCGTCAAGGCGAGACGGCTCTACGAAGTCTCGGGGCTCCAGGGGCTGCTGCTGGGGCAACGGCCGCGGGAAATACTTGCGCCACCTCCACCGGCGCCGCAGCGCCGTTAGCAGCCGGCTCGTCCGCTCCCGCGGAAGGTCCTTCCAGCGGAAAGTCTGGGGGCGTCGGCAAAATAATTATCAGGCTCCCTTCCTCGGGGGGGGGGGGGA